TAGAGTAGAGCATGCTTCTTTGCTACACCCTTGCGGGTAGGGTTGCCAATTTTCTAATCACACAAAATGGAACACTCCTGCCCCGCCCCTTCTGAAGCCCCGCCCCCTGGTTGTTCCATCCCCCCTCCCTCTGTCGCTCGCTCTTCCCCACCCTCACTCACTTTCACGTAGCTGGGGCAGGGGGTTGAGATGCGGGAGGGCTTGAGGGCTCCAGTTGGGGGTGTGGGCTCTGGGGTGGGGCTGGGGATGATGGGTTTGGGATACAAGAGGGGGCTCTGGGCTGGGGGTTCGGAGTGCGGGACGGGGTGTGGGCCCCATCTGAGGGTGCGGGCTCTGGGGTGGGGTTGGGGATGAAGGGTTTTGGCTGCGGGAGGGGACTCCAGGCTGGGGCAGGGGGGGGAGTGTGGGGTCCCTGCGGCGCTTACTGCATCTCTGAGGAAGCGGCTGCCAGATCCCTGTGGCCTCTAGGCGCATATGCAGCCAGGCGGTTCTGCGCAGTGTGCTTTGCCTTCACGCCCACAGGCGCCACCCCCCACAGCTCCCATTGGTCGCGGTTCCTAGCCAATGGGAGCTGCGGAGCTGGTGCTGGGGGCAGTGCGCAGAGCCTCTCTGCTGGCTGCTTCCAGGAGCAGCATGGAGCCAGGGCAGGTAGGGAGCCTGCCTTAGCTCTGGGTCCCCACTGTGCCGCTGACCAGACTTTTAATGGTCCAGTCGGTGGTGCCAACCGGAGCTGCCACGGTCCCTTTTCGACCAGGCGTTGCAGTTGAAAACCAGACACCTGGTAACCCTACTTGCAGCCCCATGGATAGGGGGGGTGTCTGAAGCAATCTGTGCTATGGCAATCCCTAGCTCGCAGATGCCCTTTGGGGCTGTAGTCAGCTGCTGTATCATAGTCTAAGGACAATTTACAACTGGTCCAGGGTTAGGGTGCCATAAACAGCTCTTTTTTACCTCTGCAGATGCAATCAGTGGCATGTGTAAAAATGGTGGCAGTGTAAATGCAAGTTAGATAAGTTTCATTTATTACTGTAAACTACATTTGTTAATTGATTTATTGAACTGCCCCTTGCTGGTTTAAATTAGTGGTGACATTTAATCTGTCTGTTATATCATGTTTTCTTAAATTGTTAAGTAAAGGTGTGTTAACTTTAATCTAAATGTAGATTGTTTATAAATGGTATTTTTGAGTTAGACCCATTTAGGGTGACCAGAGGTCCCGATTTTATCGGGACTGTCCCGATATTTGCTTGTTTGTCCCGCGTCCCGACCAATGTGCGGTCGGGACACTGGACAAACAAGCAATTTTGCCCTCCCGGAAGGGCTCTTGCCCCCCCCCCCCGACTCCGCCCCCTCCGTCCCCCATTGGCTCCCTCCCCAAATCACCGCCCTGGACCCGCCTCTTCTGTGGGGATGTATCATCCCTACAGCAACCTAATGGAAAGTTCCATGAGGAGGTAAGGGTCACGATGGGACACTTGCCAGGCAACGGCTCATGGCCTTGCAGGTAAACAAGGTAATAAATCATGGCCTTATGTAAGGCCCCCTGGTGGTCTAGGGATTATATAAGATGAGGTAAACAAGGTGATAAATCATGGCCTTATGTAAGGAACGGTTGAACCAATCGGTGTGGGGCTATACATGTGATAAACACATGATTCTCCTTCTTGTCCAATCCGTAGATGTGTGATTATAGCCTAATTGTGTTATGTAATGTTGAGAAAAACTATAAAAGAAAGCTTGTAATGAACAGGATTCGATTCAGCTTGCAACCATATTGGTCGTGTGTTTTATCCGCTCCGCATGGGACCCCACAAATGGTGACCCCGACGTGATTCGGCTTGGACATCGAGGCAGCCGACTGAAGCGTTCGGTGAGAAAAGGCGGAGGTGGCAGCCGCGGCAGGAGGTACCGGAGGATACCGGCTCCTGGTCGTCCGAGAGAGACGTTCGTGAGCTCACAGGTGAGCGGCTGCATTTGATAAAATGGGCTCTGCTTTGTCTGCAGAGGAGGAGACGGTGCATGATTTTTTATTACACATCGCTGAAAAGCGGGGAGAGAAGCTTCCCTCTGACGCGTTGTCCCATTTGTTGAAATGGGGGCAGAGACGCAGGTTTTTTGTTACTCCTGATACTGTCTTTGATAAGGCAGTCTGGGAAAGTCTAGGCTCTGACCTCTGGGAGTCGGTCTCTCACGGCAACAAGGAGGCCGTGTCATTGAGCCAAATATGGTGCAAATCTAAGAAACTGATAGAGACGCTTGCGGCAGAAGCCGAGGTCCAGTCGGCCATTAATGACCTCTTTCGGCCAAAAGAGGAGCCGCCTTATGTGTTGCCGGTGGGAGCCTGTGAGTTCTTTGGGGGTGAGGACACTATCATACCACTCATCCCCAGTGCACCCGAAGTTGATCCTAGTATCGTCCCGTTACCGGACAACCCCGCGGATAAAATGGAGGTCTCGAGCCCAGAAGGGGATAAGTTACAAGAATTTTGGGCGGAAATGTACAAACAGGGCCTTCAGCTACAGGACATGCTGAATCAGTTGTCCCATTTGGCCGGTGAGAGCCATCCCTCGCAGTCCCACACATTGCGAGCCTGAACCAGCCCGGCTTTCCTGTCACCAATGATGTTTGTACCCCATAGTTCCGGGCGGAGTTCCCGGGGCAGGGTGAGCAATTGCGGAATAGGTTGGAAAGAATGGCGGAGCCAAGCTTATCTAACTTTGAAAGGACATATAGGAAAAAAACACCGGATAAGATCCCTCCGGCGGATGATGTAGCTACCCCCTGTCCTCGTTGTGGTTTGTGGGGCTGCGCGATTGGGTGCACTGGACGGGATAACGTGTCCACGCACCGGCCACTGGATGTCACCAACCCGTTTGCTCCAAAGCCTCCGGCATACTCATCCGATGTTTCCACCCTGCGACATGCTTCGGACAATATCCCGGGAGGCTCGGGCCCCCCGGACCCCGTAAGGCGTTGGCACGGACTTATTAGGGAAGCCTAATAGAGGGGGAATTTGCGCCCGAGGCTTATCCAGTAGTGACACCGGATCCACAGAACCCCGCCAGACGGCAATGGGCTCCCTCAGATTGGAAGCTTGTCCGGGAGGCCCAAAAATCTATAATGTCATATGGTATGCATAACCCATATGTGCAGTCCTTGATCGAGCAGATATTTATTCGGCAGGCCATGTGCCCTTATATTCTGTGAAATTTGCTGACATGCTTTTAACGCCGACACAGCGATTATTGTGGAAGGATAACTGGGCGAAGCGTGTTGAGATGGCTATAGTGCGTAACCTAGACTTACTTGACGATAATCCGCTGCGTTACGCGACCCAGGACATGCTTATGGGAAAAGGGGTCTATGTGGAGCCACAACTCCAGGCGCGTCTCGACCCGCGCATCCTGCAGCAATCACAGGGACTGGCGTTGGCTGCGTTCAAGAAAGTTCCACAAATGGGTAAGCCAATCCCCCCGTATGCCAAAGTTACCCAGGCCCTCTCCGAACCCTATTCCACCTTCTTGGATAGGTTACAGGAGGCAATCGATCGTTCCCCCAATTTAACGGCGGAAGCAAAAGCTGCCGTTGGGCTTGACTTAGCCATCCAAAATGCCAACCCTATCTGTCGTCGCATTTTGGCAACACTACCCAAAACAGCCTCGTTAATGGAAGTGATCGAAGCTTGTAATTGAGCCTCCGTGTAGGAGGAGGCTGAAAAGGCGGAAGTGCACGCCAAGGCCCATGCGTCTGCGTTGGCGGTGGCGCTGCGCCACCTGGTGGTAAGCACGGGCCGTGGCCAAAAGGGCGTTGCCCGGCCCTCCGGGGTTTGCTTTACCTGCAGAAAATCTGGACACTTAAAACGTGAATGCCCTACAAGAAATAGTAAAATAGGGACCAAGAA